TTTTTTTTTTTTTTGACATGAATTGTAAGTTTTTAGTAGTATAGTACAGAGGCGAAATGAATAGAGCAGAAAAGAACTCCCCACGTTACTTGGGGTGTTTTTAGCCGATGATGAGTTAAGTGATCTGAATAAAGATTCATCTGTATGTGGTATCAGTCTGTTGACAGATTCTGTTTTTTAGGCTATGTATCAGCATAACAATATGTATTCAAGTGGAATGCAAAACGCTTTTTCGTTCCCGACATTTGCTCCAACCGGCTACCCGACTCCACAGAATGCAGCCTATTACTGTTATAATAAATGACTTACAGTTTTTGCCTGTTTGTTCTTTTGTCTTTTTTCCTTTCACCCATTTTGTCATCAATTTTTTCTGCTTTCTTTTTTATTTTTTGCATGTTTTGACAATGGATTTTATATAATATAAAGATTTTGTAGTTCATGTAGAAATACCGATTGTTTTCTTTTCCTTTTTTTTTTGTTTCTTCTTGGTCTTTTTAGTTTTATTTAAAGATTATTTGTTATCAATGTGATATATTTGAAGAAACATTAAACAGTTATACGAAATTACGGAAGAAAACTGTGAAAAAATTTATTCAGATGAAATAAGAGGAGATTGCAAACAGTTTTTTGGGGCTATGAAAAGAACGAATTGTTGAGTTTTGTAAAACTTTATTAAATTACTTTTTTTTTTTGCTCTTCTGAGGAATGGGAAGGGAAGGAGAGGGGAGGATGATTTAACCGATGTCAAATTTATTCAGTGCTTAGTTTGATTCCATTTTTTGTCTCTTTTCTTCCGCGTTACGGAGTAGTCGTTCTTTAAGAGGTTTTTTTGTGGTGAGCTTTTTCATTTTTTTTTTCTTCCGAAAAATGTTATTTTAATGTACTCCGCTTACAGTTTGTTTCCTTTCAGTCGTTTTTTTTCTTGTATTTTTGAATTCAGTTGTGTAAATATTTCTGATCTCTAAAGGTATTATTATTATTACTATTATTATTATTATTATCATTGAGGTTTTTTCTTCATTTTCGCTTTCTTTTTTCTTGTATGTTTGTTGTGTTTCTTCTTTTTCTTCGATATGATTTGTTAAGAAAATTTTTACAAAATTTTCTGTTTTTTTTTTTTGTAACTCGCGGTCAGTTGTGTAATATTATTGCCTACTTGTCGTCATCATTGTCGTCGCCGTCGGCGCCGTTGTCGTCGTCGTCGTCGTCGTCGTCGTCTTCATTATCGTTGTTGTCGTCGTTACCGTAATCATTTGACGATGCGTGTTTTTTACCCTTTTAGTTATGCGCTTCTAATCCCCGTTTATCTTTCGATTAATATTCAAAGAAATAATTTATATGCCAATTTTTATTTTTTATACATGCAACATAACTTATGTGTTATTCTCAAAAAAAAAAAAAAAGACTGATGTCTAAAATTAGAAGTGGAAAAAAAATGCAGAAAAAAA